ATCTTTTAAGTCTGTCTTGCCAGCTGGAAGGTGACTTCTCTGAGAGCTTCAAGTAGAGATTCAATAAATACTGAAGAGAACAACACAGCCTAGATAGCCCTGCCACACTGCCACCTTGTCAAGTACTAGTTCAAGTACTCCTTCAAGTGTAGACCCCTATTGATGACATATAACCCACTTGGCAGAGCTCGATAAATAGCATTTTCTGGGCCCACCCGTGGAATTACTTATTTAGAATGTCTAGGATAAAGCTCAGACATCTCCATTTGAATAAGCTCCCCAGAGAAGTATGATACACAGGACTACTGAGAATCATAGGTCTATTCAGCTATACAAAGATTCTAATCCACAGGATTTTCAAAGAGTAGCAAATAACAAGAAAAAGCATTTGGTCTAATCAGTCATAAATCTCACTGTGCTCCTGAGTTGTAAGAGGACCCAAGTGCTATGAGAAGACTAAAGCCCATTAATAAAGTTCTTACTTTCCAGTCTTAATCATTTGCAGTACATCCTGTCCACAGGAAATGATACAACAGCCATGGTATACATTGGATGCTCAACAGAAAGCATTTAAAATTTGTCATGTTAGGGGCGCCTGTCTGGCTTAGTTGGTAGAGCATGCAACTCTTGATCTTGGGGTTGTAAGCTCGGGCCCCATGTTGGGTATAGAGATTATTTAAAAACAAAATCTTTAGGGGCGCCCGGGTGGCTCAGTCGTTAAGCGTCTGCCTTCAGCTCAGGTCACAATCCCAGGACCCTGGGATCGAGCCCCGCATTGGGCTCCCTGCTCGGCGGGAAGCCTGCCTCTCCCTCTCCCACTCCCCCTGCTTGTGTTCCCTCTCTTGTTGTGTCTCTCTCTGTCAAATAAAAAAATAAAATCTTTAAATAAAATAAAATAAAATTTGTCATGTTAAATTCATCTGAATATCTGCTTTGCTGAGATTAGTAAACTGAGATTATTTTTCAATTTCGGTCTTTTAAAAATGTTTTAATCCATATTCATAATGGCATAATATAAAATCTAACAGATCAATTATTCTACAAAAACAGAGCCCATAGGTCCATGTAAAATTGCAACGTGAGTTAATAAAAAACACTTCTTATATTCTGCTTATAAGCAAAGTTCAAATTTAAAATATAACTCATCAAGGGATAAAGAAGGTGTGGTGTATATATATATATATATATATATAATGGAATATTATTCAACCATAAAAAAGAATGAAGTCTTGCCATTTGCAACAACATGGATGGACTTAGAGGGTATTATGCTAAGTTAAATAAGTCAGAGAAAGACAAATACTATGTGGTTTCACTCTTATGTGGAACTGAAGAAACAAAACAAACGAACAAAAAAAAGAGAGACAAACAAAAAGCAGACTCTTGAATTTGCAGAACAAACTGGTGGTTACCAGAGGGGAGGTGGGTGGGGGATGGGTGAAATAGGTGAAGGGGATTAAGAGTACACTTATCATGATGAGCACTGAGTAATGTAGAGCACTGCTGAATCACTACATAGTACACTTGAAACTAAAACACGGTATATTAATTATACTAGAATTAAAATTTTAAGAAATAAAATAAACTATAATTCATCATATATTTCTGCATTTCATGGAGGGAAAGAATATTAGAACCAGAGAGTACCAAACCATCCAATCCACTGATTTCTCTCCATTTATTTCATTTTGTTCAATTCTTCCCCGCAAGGGAAACCATGATGATATGCAACTAATAGCAAGTGTCCCTAATTACAAAGGGTGTTTGTGATAAAAATAAACGGTTTATACACCATTAAGACATATTTTCAGCAAGAATTAAAATAGTAACTTGACACCCCCCCTTGCTATTTCAGCTGTGCCAAATAAAGAAAGCTCCAAATTCAATTCACTGCAACATTTACACTGGTTGCTCAATAGGGCTGGAATGGAAAAAGCAAAGCAAAAACAAAAACAATTTAGCAATGTTGTACCAAAACCACACACAGACAGGGGTCTGCCTCTTCGGTTTACTGACAGACTTAACCTAAATGATGTGTTTGTGTGAAATGGACAATGATGTACATATTGCAAACCATGGGTCTGATAAAACCCAAAGCAACATGGAACCAAGAAGCACTGGTCAATCATAGGCTTTTCCTTGGTACAGCCGCACAGGATGAATAGGGCATTTTAACTTTAACCATTCATAGATATCCACCATTATGTATGAATAACATGAATAACAACATTGTGAGTGGTTAGGAAGGCATTTTGACAAATCAGATGTTTTTATTCGTGAAATATATCATCAACAAGTTTACCTTAGAGTAAGAGATAATATCCCTAATTATAGGAAATGGATTTTCTGGGACTTGCGGTCACATGATATATTGCACATTATGATACCCTTTGTGGTCATCTCCTTCAGGGTGGAAACTGCATCCTGTTTTCTGAGGCAACTTCCACACTTAAGGAATATGACTGGGTTAATAATGAGTAGAATTTTTACCTAAAAGCTCTTAGGCTAGTCTGCTGCTCACACCAGAGAACGTGCTTTGACTGTCATCAGGTCATGAAAAATAAATCTGTTTTCTCTACTACATCACCAAAAACACTCAGATGTAATCCAGTGCTTTTTTTTTTCGTTCTCCAGACAGCAGCTAATGGCATCTGATTTTATATAAGACTGTTAGGAAAAGTCTATTGTCTGCGTTTGCTGACACTGAAAGCTAAATTTCATTAAAGGAACAGCACTGGTGAATGTCTCCAGAATTTTTTAAAAGATAAAATTGTTTTTCTTTTTCCCTTAAAGGGACTGTGTTTCATAATATTTTCCATTCATAGAGAATTTGTAGGCACAAAGCTCTCTGAGACCATCGTCTTTTGTCCTCAAAACAACTTCGTAGTAAGAGCTAGTCTGAGCTTTTTCAGACTTCTCAAATGTGGAGGATGAACCCAAGAGGTAAGTCACTTGCCCGAGGTGACTGTAACACAAGGTTCCGGAAAGCGGGAACCAGGATCTTTGTCTCTGGGCTCTCCGATGACTGCCTTCCCCATTTCCTTCCTTCCTCCCTTCCACCTCCCCCCTTTCAAACCTTTTGCCACACACACTGCAGATTTGCCCTCATTCAGCAAAGCCAGTAGAAAAACCTTTGCCAGGAGGCTTCCAGAAAGTGGGGTCTTTTAAAAATAAATAAAATGAAACATGGATTGGGCTTTTTATTTTCTCCCAGGGACTGCTTTCAACACACATTTTTAGGTCCTAAAGGAGGAACGCAGCACACTGTTTTGGAAGCCATTCTCAAGCCCCACTTAGAGGCCAGGCTTCCTGACAAAACTGAAGAATGGTGAAGGAATGCGTGAGCACTACGGAAATCTCATGAACCTCAACGTCGAAGCTTTCACATGAAAACTTGCCAGGAGCACGAGGCCTTTCGGAACTTGCCACAGAAAACTAGTGAACGCCAAAGAGATGAATGCCAAAGCCTCTTCCAGGATTAAGGCTAAGAAACTGAAACAACTTTCTCGCGCTATCAATCACCTAAATATTTAGGCAGGCGGTCTATTGAGAGAGGAGGCCATCAGGACATCCCTGTTGCGGCGCCTTAAGAGACGCCCCATCTTTCGATCCCCGGGGAGCGCCTGGCCGCTGCGGCGCCTTCCCGGCACTGTGGCGCACTGCGGAGCTGCGGGATGGCCCGCAGACCCGCCCTGCTGGGCTTTCCTCGCCGCCCGGGCCGCAGCCCGCCCCCCCGCCGCCCCCGCCGGGTGCGCTGCGGGGCATCCATCACCGGAGAGACTTTGACGCACGCGCGCTCTCCCAGACCGAGACTCCGCCGCCTCCCCTCCAGCCCCCACCCCGCCCGCCCCTCGCGGGTCTGCATTTGCATCACTAGCACACGCAGTGGGTGACGTGAGCGCCCCCCCCACCCCCGGCTCCCGCCCCTGTGACTCAGTCCCTCCCCCTCCACCCCCGCGCGCCCGGCGCCTAAGGTCCCCGCACGCCCACAGAAAGACCCTGGGTTTTGTGCATCTGCGGCGGGGTGCCCACTGCCCCACAAGTTCATCACCATATTCCGCAATCTCCATGGGCCCAGCCCCGGGAGGTCCCCGCGACAAGCTGGAGAAAAGTCTTACCAGTTCTAGAACCCAGGCGGAGGGGAAAGAGTCTGACCATTCCAAGGGTCAGATGGATGGGGTGAGCGCCGCCACAGCTCTCACCACCACCTGAAATGACCCAGGTAGCTTATTTATGGGTGATGGCCCCTCTCCCTCCCCCGGAGCCGCACGCCAGTCGGTCTATTTCGCCGCACCTGGAGCCTGGTGGGCGCTCAGTAGGTTTTTACTGGATGAGGGCGGAGTGTTTGGAGTGAAGTGCAGCACTTACAACCACAGCCCCGCGGGATTCCCGGTTCTCCATCCCTTTCTGCTTCTCGCGCAGACACGAGACGGGGGCTTTGGGGACTTCCGTGGAATCGTTTTTTAAGCCCCGGGGTCTCTTTCAGGCTCGCACAGCGCCCAATGCGGCTTTCTCTGCTCTTACGCCAGCCGCACGTCTGCAGAAGGATCCCCGCCGAAAAGTTGAGCCCAAAGCTGGGGTCGGGGTACAGGTCGGACGCCTGGCTGGGGGCTCGGAGCTGCTGTTCTGATTCAGCCTCCCCTTCCCCGTCCAACCAAGGAAGCAAAGTATTGTGGAGGTCCCCAAGGAAGGCGGGCGCGGCTTTCGAATCCCCGCGGCCGCCCACCCGCCTCCCCCGGGAATCCGGATAAAGTGCACCCGCCTCCCCTGACCTACCCTGGGCATCCGGGAGTCACTCCATCTGCTTTACCCCGAATTCCCCGGTCCCACCCCAGCAAAAAGGCACCTGCAACCGCTTCCTCGGGGGCACGCGGGGCAAAGTTGCGCTTCTACAAGGCTGCAAAAAGTTCCCCACGCTGCAGCGCCCGGCTCCCCGGTCTGGAAGGAAAATTAGGCGGCGTCTGGAAAACCCGCCACCGCTGCCGGGGTCCCTCACTCACCGCTCCAGCCGCCTGGGACCCCCTGCCCTAGGTAGTGTCAGCGCTGCAGCTGCTGCCTCGCGGGCGTCGCTCGGGCTCTCTCCCCGGGGCCGCCTCCGTCTGCCACTCTCGCCGGCAGCGCACGGAGTGGTGACTCCTCCAAGCGTGTCAGCGACGAAAGGAGGGGCGGCAAAGTGGCTCTGGGCTAGCACGCTGCGGTCCTCCTCCCCCTCCTCCGCCTGCGCCTCCTCCCCGCGGTGCTGCAGTGCCGGGCGGCGGCGTAGCGAGAGTACGAGCGGTGCGCAGGGAGGGAGTCACCGTGCGGGGGAGGCGGGAGCGGCGCACGACTAGGTGCGGAGCCGGCTGACTGGCTCCGGGAAGTCCGGGTTCTGAGGCCTGGCTGCAGCGTGGGACTGGGGGGAGGGGCGGGGCCACCCCCAAGTGGCAAGTACTCTCGGAGGAGGCAGGGCTCCGAGTTTGCACCGGGGGGTGGGGGAGGGAAGGAAAGGGGCACCAGTGCTCTGCGTGGTGCACTGGGGGCGGCGCCCCTAGTCTGGTCCCCCGAGAAACGAAGGAATTCTGAGTGCGGGACCTAGCTGGTGCCAGGGGAGAGAGGGTTTGCCCCCTATTCCTGGGCCTGGGACTGACCTGTTAACGTCAACTCCTCTTCCAGGGAGCCACCTGGCGGGGCTAAATTGACCATTCCTCCACCCTCCACCTTCACCCTGGCATACAAGGCGAGGGGAAACTTGGGACGCAGCAAGAGCAAACCGGAGGAAACTTTGCTGGGTGTCTGAGGTCTCCCTAATGCCGGGGGGAGGGGCAGACAGCCGGATCCACAGGCAGACAGCGAAAGTGGCTCTTTTAGGGGAACTACTAAATATTTAAAAAGGAGAGGGAGGCACGGGAATTTTGCTTGTATTCTTGATAATACTGGCGTGCTGGAGACCCCCACTTGAGCTTCCCCACTACAAAGCAGCAGGGTTCGGCGGCTCGGGGAAGCCTACTCGGGCGACGCCTTCCCCAAGGCTGGCGCGGCCGATCCGCGGCGGTAGAGGAGGGCGTAGTCGTCCGCTGACCTCGGGCCGCCGCCCCTCCATGTCCCCCCCCATCTCGCGCACTGCCACCCAGATGCTGCGAGAAGCTGGGCTTCCCCAAATCCCTGACCCTGCCAGCTCCGCGCTCACATGGAACAAATGCAGCGTGGGAGGCGGCCACACTGGCAGGCGTCTTCCCTAAGATCACTTCACTGCTCTAATGATGGGTGACCCGAAGCAAGACAAAGCACAACGCCTGAGCGGGATGCAGTGGGTGGAACTCTTTCTCTCTCTCTCTCTCTCTCTCTCTCTCTCTCTCTCTCACACACACACACACACACACACAGTTTATCTGCCAAATGTGTTTGATTCGTGTAAATATGCCTGGATGATTGAATGGATCAGTGTATGGATATAAATATCAATACTACATGTACTTGTGCGGGAAAGAAGAGATACCAGGCACCTCAGACAGCCTCCTGCCCAGAGAAGCTGGTGGGGATGAGGTGGGTCAATTCTGAGCCATGTTGTCACATGAGCTTTCTGGCTTGGTTCGTATCACTATGCATGATGCTGTGGAAAGAGGAAAACAGAGACAGTCCTTGGCCTATAATTTTCCCTTCTCTCCATTTCAGGCTCTCAAGAACTCTAAGTTATGATTCCCCTGTCCTGTGGAACCTACACTTGCTTTGCTACATCGGTCTTTGAAAACCTGACTGGGTCTTGTTTGGGTTAAAGGCTTTGCAGTTTTCAACCATATGTGGTGCTGTTAAGGTGGTCAGGAAACATGAAAATTAGGAACATGCTGCTTATTTGCATTTCATGGATCCCTCTACATAAGCAAATTATTTAAGTTAAGTATTTAGGCTAAAATTATTGCATGGTTACAATGAGAAGGAAAATATATCCCATGGGAATGCCAAATAAATCCAGCATTGGAAATGAAATTGTGAAATTTAAAAAAAATCACAAACCTTATCCAGATCGCCTGCATATTACACATAAAACATTGAACTCTCAAGTGCAAAACATGCTGGCGATTCACTGGGTTTCCAAATGGACGGACAGACCCCCTCTTGAAAACCTTTCTCCAAATGTCATATGATAATGGATTATTTCTCCAATGAGAGAAGTTCAGAAAACCATGAATGATCAATGTGCCCTGTGCTATGCTCCCTCTTCCCTGTGCTGTCCATGGAAGATATTTAAAGTGTGAAAATTTTTCTAGCTGCCAAGTTTTCATGTCTTGACATAGTTGAAGATAACAGCTCCTACAGGAAAATTCCTGATTATGTATTTTTGAGAAATGTTCGATTTAAGACTAGCTTGTGTTAGAGGAGGGTATTTTAATGCTGTGTTTTTGGAGGACAACAAACATTTTCTCATGACGATGGGATGCATAGGTTCTTCAGCTTGCCCTCCAAGAGTGCTCTCATTTTAGGGTCCCGCTTGGTGCACCTCAGGCATATTGGATCCAGCACTCAGAATAGTCTTCACACCTTCATTATAAGGATGTGTTTTCTCTCCTAAAAACACTTGTCTTGTAGGAGCTGATGGAGGGTAAAGGAGACCCCTGCACTGTCCCCACAAAAATCCCAGTGCTCTGACGTCACTACCCTCCTACCAATCTGGAATTTTATTCCTCAGTGCAGTATCTGCTGAGCATGCTAGAAAGTAAGTTGTTAAACAGACCTAAGGAGCATCAAAGATCTATCTTCACATCTGCAAAGTGGATTCAATAAAAATGATTCATACTAAGTATAGACTCTGTGGTGATTAAACTTGATAACACACACAAGAAGCACAGTGCCTAGCACATAGTGGACATAGATTAAATGTTAATACCCCTCTCCTTTTAGTAGCCAGAGTGAGGTTTTCCCAAGTGTGTGCCTTAGGGTGTTAGTTCTATATTTCTGCAAGCTTAGGGTAACTAACAGCTGGCTTCCAGAACAGAGACCTCAAGAAAGCCTCCATAGACTTGGACCAAGGCTACCTCACTCCAGTTCTCCTCACCTTCATCATCAGGGGTCAGTAACAAGGCAGACATCCTTCTCACCCTCAATGCTCACAGCTTCCCCAACACTCTAGGTCTTGAGTCTACCAATATTAATCTCATTAAGCCCTTAATGCCTATTTATGTTGGTTATCACAAGCAGCTCGAGAATCTCAAGTGTGTTTCTCATCTCCTACATTTTAACATTCATAGACTGAGCACATATTATATGTCCCTTTCTCCCTCTGCAGCTCCTGGAACCTTCTGTTTCGGGCTTCTGGAAGGCACAATCCAACCATTAGCAAAATGCCCTATATCCTCAGCCTCTTCTCTGAAGGTTCCCTTCACTTCTTGCTCTAATGGAAGCCTGATTCTCCCGCTTAGAAAAACTGCTTCCACCGCCCTTGCAAGTGATGGCTGGTTTTTCCCTCTCCAGCTCTTGTATCATTGTGTCAGGAAATAAGAAGGTGGTGTCCTTCTTGTTCCTCAGTTCTGCTTCCAGAACATTGTTCCTCCCTTCTCCCGAAAACCTACAGCTCTGAATCTTACTTCATCGGGTTATTGTACACTTTGAAACGTTGCTGCTATGCTCAGACCTCCATGTCACTCTGCACCTTTCCTGACAATTTTAGCTCCTAATTCAAGGTCACTCCCTAATCACTAATCCTACCTTAAGCCTCACAAACTTAATGCACATGAAGTTGTTCATTGCAACCAGTACTACCCTTAGTCCTGAGCAAGCAAGTGTTCTGTGCCTGAGGGGGCCTGTGCTTTAGAATGCCTTACTTAAAAAAATTTAAGTCCCCCTTTGGTGGCTGGGTTTGCAGCCCCCAATTTTCATGAAACTATGAACTCAGTTTAATATTGGGCTGGTAATTTCCCAGGGCCCTAGCAGAAGGAAACACAAATACTTTCTGGAGGAGCTCTCCTTTATCCTAGACTTCAAAAAAATTCCCTCAAATAAGTTTTTGGTGAAATATAGAAAATGACGAAGCACACAAAACAATGAAACACACGAATAAGGATGACCCCATGAAGGAGAGTCAGCAGATAGCAGATATAAAAAAAGAAACTTCAGTCCTTCTTCAAGAAAAGACTTCAGATGTTGGAATTATTAGTCACAATTCTTCCTTTACTTGAAGAAAAATAAAAGACAATCTTATAAATATTTGCAGGTGATAGGAAACTACAAGGAATAACCAATCATACTTAAAAACCTATCCAACTCTACTGGTTATCTTACCAACACCCAATCCAACTTCCACACCTATATAACACAACTTCCTCCTCCCTTAAAGAACCTTGATTCTATTCAGGGATCAATCTTTTTTTTATTGTACACATATATTTAACAAAATGATTTTACACAGAATGCTACGAGCACATTTCTTCATATTTTACAGAAAGGCATGAAATTCATACCATTGCATAGCCAAATCTAACTCCTAACTAGATGGATTACATTTTGTTTAGAGTTTAAAGCCTTAATGGCAATAATCATTATTATGATTAATAATAATTACTGACTGAAAAATAAATTCAGAAAGTAGTGAATTAAATTTAATATGGTCTCATATGCCCTGAAGGAGGTTGTACCTGACTTGGAGGAGCTTTTGCTATGTCCAAATAATGTCGTCTTTGGAATTTCTGTGACTGCAGGGTCATGAATCATCAGTCCCCTCCCTTTCTGCCAGACATCATGCTATCGATCTCCTTTACTCCCTGGCCATCTTTTAAGATCTATAAAAAAAAACAATTATAAGATTGAAGTGTATGCCTTTCTCTCTAGCTTCTGGGTAGACTTCCTCTACTCACAGCTGAAAACATTCTTACACTGACATTATCCACAACTCTAAAAAAGTATCGGGTACATAGTAGATTCTCCACAAATGTCTACTGATTTAAACTGACTGTGTGTTGAGTTCATTTCTGTTGAGAAAACAAGAAGGATGTCGTCTGTTGGTCCCTAAAATCATAGAAGGTGTTTGGCAAATATTTTCTTGAAGCCAGAATGGCTTCGGGATCTTAGTAAGCACAAGGGAAGCTTTTAGGGTCCAGATGGAAGGCTGAAAATGAAAAAAAAAAAATCTCAGTGAAAACTCGGATT